AACGTTAAAAACAGCGACAATGTTAAAAACAGCAACAATGCTAAAAACAGCGACAATGTTAAAAACAGCAACAATGCTAAAAACAGCAACAATGTTAAAAACAGCTGGCGACCCATATACGCAGCAGCCCGGGTTCGAGTCCGACCTGTGGCCCTTTGCTGCATGTCGTCCTCTCTCTCTCTGCCCCCCTTTCCTGTCTCTCTCCAGCTGTCCCTGTCAAATAAAGGCATAAAAAAGGCCAAAAAATAATACTTAAAAAAAAAAACAGCAACGTTAAAAACAGCGACAACGCAAAAAACTGCAACAATGCTAAAAAACAGCGATGACGTTAAAAACAGCGACAACGCAAAAAACAGCAACAATGCTAAAAACAGCAACAACGTTAAAAAACAACTCAGCAAACTCTTCCTCCAAAGAAAATATTATCTGTGTGTGTGTCCAGGTGAGTTCATTAAAGCTCTGTATGAGTCAGATGAGAACTGTGAGGTCGACCCGTCTCGCTGTGCGACCTCTGACCTCGCAGAGCATCAGGCCAACCTGAGGATGTGCTGTGAACTGGCCTTCTGTAAGATCCTCGACTCCTACAGGTATACACAGTACACACAGTACACCCTCAGGGTACACTCAGTACACAGTGTATTTATACATATAGTACACATATACCCCTTCCTCACTCAGGGTCTTCCCCCGGGAGCTGAAGGAGGTGTTTGCGTCATGGCGACAGGAGTGCGGTAACCGGGGGCGACCAGACATTAGCGAGCGCCTCATCAGCGCCTCATTGTTCCTGCGCTTCCTGTGTCCGGCTGTGATGTCACCGTCGCTGTTTGACCTGATGCAGGAATACCCCGACGAACGCTCAGCGAGAACTTTAACGCTCATCGCCAAAGTCATCCAAACCCTTGCCAACTTCAGCAAGTAAGTCTGGGCTTTTATTGTAAAAAAAACTGGAGGGCTTTTATTTTGAAAGACCTGCTAGGCTTTTACTGTCACCTGTGTCCTGTGGTTCAGGTTCGGCACTAAAGAGGAGTACATGCTGTTTATGAACGACTTTGTGGAGCGGCAGTGGAGCAGCATGCAGCGTTTCCTGCAGGAGATCTCAAACCCTGATGGACTGAACCACACCGCCGGCTTCGACGGATACATCGACCTCGGCCGGGAGCTGTCCACCCTGCACACCCTGCTGACCGAGCTCGACCAGGTAACACACCTGATCACGTGTAGCCTGTCAGTTCCCAGAATCCAGCCAGGCTAGCATTTTCCCCCTGCTCCCAGTCTTTATGCTAAGCTAAGCTAACCGCTGCTGGCTGTAGCTTTATATTTAAAGTGTGGACAAACTCTTTACAGAACTCTACCTGTCTCTCTCTCCTACCTGTCTGTCTGTCTCTAGTCGTGTCTGTCGAAGCTCGGTCCTCTTCCTCGGATCCTGAGAGACGTGTCAGCGGCTCTGGCTAACCCGGGCGGTGTGGCTAACGCCGGGGGAGTTTCCGTGTCCTCCCCAGAGCCTCAGCGTGTGGTGTCTCCGCCTCCTATGTCCCCACCCCCTCTGTCCCCGCCCCTCTCTCCTCCTCTGGCAGGTTGTAATCCCTCCATCGGCCTGCAGGGAGGCGTCGGACTGGATGGAGGGTTAGCATCCTGTTAGCATTAGCATCCAGTTATCAACAGAAAAAAGGCAGAGCAGCACTGACCAATAACAGCTACTCTGTGGTTGCTAGGGCTTTACTCTGTCTGTGGTTGCTATGGCTTTACTCTGTCTGTGGTTGCTAGGGCTTTACTCTGTGGTTGCTAGGGCTTTACTCTGTCTGTGGTTGCTAGGGCTTTACTCTGTTCATTAGATGATTCTTTATAGGTGATTACTAGGTGGTTGCTCTGGGTTTATTTGAGTTGTTGCTATGGTGTTGCTATGGTGTTAATTAGGTGGTTTCTATGTTCCTGTGAAACAACACATTGAGCTTACTGGGGGACTTTTAGTTTATCATCAATAAACTGTAAATGATTTTCAACCAGTTAATTTAATAAACACATTATATATATGAGTCTGTTATCAATCAATATAAAGTTATTCAATTCAATTTTATTT